ACAGTTGATCAGACTTAGATTTTTCTTTCTCTAATTTGCATACTTTATAGATTCTGGCGTGGCATGTACAGCCGCTTTGAGAGTGGCATACATCCGCGTGAGCCTCTGGGTGATTTGCTGCTGGACAGCAAGGAGCACTGTAACTCGCTGGAGGATCATGTGCAGCACCTGACGAAGCGCATTGCCAGCTTCAAGAACTACATTTCCAAGTCGGCCAAGAAGCTGCAGGATGCCACCACCACAACCACCACCAAAGTTACCAAGGAGCCGACCCCCAATGAGATCAATGACAACAAGTAGCCAAAACACGCTGAATGCAAAATATACAGAAATTGTTAACTATTCATATTTTCAGATATAATTACGACAAGAAGCTAAGCGAATTGTCTGCTGCCGACGATGATCATCCCCTGAAGGCGAGCAACATGTCATTTGCCAATCTGTCGTTAAATGCCGAGCAAACGAGCCCGCAAGCTTTGAGCGAGGAAATCTCGTCGGTGGCGCTAGATTGGAAATCCATGCGAAATGTAACCACCTGCTCCTGCTCCACACCCTTCGATCAGTTCAGCAAAAAGGTTAGATAGTTAGTCAGCCACATGACAGTTCATCCAATTCATTTGCCTTGCCTCTCTTCCAGACACATTGCTGGCGTTGCGGGGAGATCTTCTGCGAGCGCTGCATCGATAAGAATGTGGCGTTGCCTGGACACGACAGTGGCAAGCCAGTGCCCGTATGTCGTGGCTGCTTCCGACAGATGCAAAAGCAGAGTCCTTAAGCCCAATTCTAGCATAATCCTAGTTGTAAATTGTTGAGCATGTGACGCGGAGTGAATGTGGCAAGCGTGCGAGAGTGAGCCGAATTTGTTTCGGTTGTGTTTTGTGGCATTAAATACATATACACGGATTAACATACCGGTACATCTATATATATATATATATTGAGATACATATATTATTATATTATATTTATTGTTGCATTTGTAGTTGTAGCTAACCTACGAGTTATAGCGTGCAAAAATCAACCAATAAGCATTCAAGCTAGGCAAAGCTTCCAGTCGTGCGCATACATATACCAGAACTTCGCCTAGTCGGGCACAAATCTACATTATGTTGTTGTTGTTTTTGTTTTCAATAATCTATTTTTCTAAATATTCAGGCCTATTCCAAAAATCACTGTCGTTTATAATTGAATTTCAAAATATAATGCGTATTTTAAATTATGCTGTTCATCAGGGCCTTAGCTGGCGTTTAATGTGCTACATTTCTTAGGACATAAACTTTTAACTTAATATTACAGAATCTCTGTTCAGGCAGCATTCCAAGTGTAAACTTATATTTTCTTAAATTGGTTGAGCTTTCCATGACAAAGGAGTTTATGTGAAACTTGAATCAGACCTCTTGCCTCAACATATATCTCACACAAACAAGACAGTACAATTGCTTACATATTATTGCATACCTAGGTATGTGTATACTTAGATACCGTTAGCATACAATTGCATGGATACAGTTCAATTTAAAAAGATAACTATCGTAATGTCTACTGCTAGCTGTCGGGCAATTAAGCTGCTTTTCAAGCCGTAAATGTACTATGCAAAAATGTTTGATCAAAATATAATAAAATGATTATTTATTCAACAATTGTCCATGATCCGCGTTCAAGTTTATATCGGCGAAACATCTCAATAGCCAATATCGGGCTTGATGCGCAGAATGACGGGCACGCTGGTGCAAGGCAGGATGGCCACCTCGGTGACAACGGCGCTGACCAGCTCGGGTGGCGTTATATCGTAGCTCAGGTTGAGTGGCGTTAATCGGCTCTTCGATTGCCAGTTGTTGAGGGAGCACTTTTCATCCATCACCAGCAGATTGGGATCGCACAACTCATTGTAGACAATGGCATCAGTCTGGAAACGTTCACTGAACTTATGCGTCTCACAGCACACGAGCACGGGCACGTTATGGGAGTTGGCAACGAGCGCCACTTGGGCTGTGCCCGTTCTGGCCATCACATATCCATTGGCTAATAGCGCATGCGCTCCCAGCATCACTTTGGTGGCCTCCGGCATTACGTAACTGATGGCGTTGATGAGCACATAGGTGCATGGTATACCGCAGGCGTGCAGCCGACGCAGCATCTCCTGTCCTTCGCAGAAAGGCCGTGAATCGACGACAATTACTCGGAATGTCACCTTGCGCCGCTTGGCCTCTTCGCAGATGAACTGAATGAGGGATGAGCAGGCAAAGGTGAGCAGAACGTCGCCGTCTGTGATCTTCTCTTGCATGGAACTGCTAATAGCTTGCGCTGCCTTGCCAATCTGATTCTCTATATAGGTGTCTATAAAGTGCCCGAGGAGCTCTTTTAACTGAAACAATGGAATCATCAATTAATCGGTGTCTCCAATCTCGCACTGCTCAGCTGCTTACCTCCGTTTCGGGCGTGTCTGTTGGCAGCTGCGTCAACTGATTCTTGAACTGCTTGTAGGCATTGTACACAGACACGGCCAGCGGTCGGCATTTGTTCAGATGATCCACATGATGCTTGACTGCCACGTCAAGACTGCGTCCGAACTCCTTCTTGGCGGGCGTCTCAAAGTCCTGCACCACCTGCCGCAGTGCATGCAGAAATGCAATGCATCGCGCATTGGATCCAACAATTGTCCGCTGAGCATATTGCACACCCAGGCGAGCCATGCTCGGATGTACGTTGGGATCGTTGATAAATAAGCTGGCGTCTTTGTCAGCGCTAACCAAATGATTGAATAGCTTCACTTTGCACTCTCGATCCGCTTTGACTGTCCCACCCTTTGATGGCGACTTGGCAGGTGAATCTACCTTGTCGTCTTTGTCAGGTTTGTGTTCCTTGTGGGTCGTGACAGACACATTTGGCGTCGCCTTAACGCTGTTCCCGGCTGCCGACTTAACAGTTCCAGGCGTCGCAGTTGTCTTTTTCGCTTGTCCCTGCGCCTTTGCAGCACGTTGCGCCTCTTGAATGGCTCGACGTTCCGCCTTTGTAAGCGCTGGCTTTTTCTGCAGTGGAGGAGGAAATGGGTTAGTAATGATTTCCTAAAACGAGCTTTAAAGACTCTGAAAACAAATTTTCACCCACCTTTTCATGATCCGCTGTTGCAGCTGCACCTGTAGCTGTGGCAGCTGCGGCTGGAGCAGCTTCAATCTTCGTCGCAACTTGCAGGTTATTTAATTGCTTCGCTGCGGCATCCACGTTATTGGACTTGGCGGATTTAGCAGCTTGTTTGGCAGCTTTTTTCGCCTCGCGCTCTGCTTTGATTTGCTCACGCGTTTTTTCACTAGCTGGAGCAGTTGGGTTAAAAGAATCTGTGGAGTTTTGTGCGGATTGAGATGCAGTTTTTGGGTCAGCGACATTTGTAGAACGTAGCGGCAGCTGGCTTTGCTCTTTCGTTGTTGTTGTCGTCGTGGTCGTCAGCTTCTGAGTGATCGTCGTTTGCTCAACTTCGGTTATAATTGTCGTGGCTGGCGTGATGGATTTCTGTTTCTTCGCCAGTTTCGCTTGCTTTTTGGCCTCACGTTCGGCCATCACCTGCTCGCGCGTTTTATCCGCTGATGCATTCTGCTGTGGATTACTACTCGATTTTTGCATTGCGCTGTCCTGTTCTGACTTATCCTCGATATCTTCCAGACGGTTTCGTTTATTTCTTGGACGATTGCGTTGCCGTTGCTTCTTCTGCTTTGTAACTGCAGAGGTCGATGAGCCCTATTGAGTAAAGATAATTAATGTAATAGGCACAGCTATATCGAAAATTTACTAATAGCTTTCCAATCTAACTACGAATGCCAAATAAAATAAGTTGTAATACATTTCCACTAGTTTAATAGTTAATGAGGCTACATATGTACCTGTTCGCTTTTTATAACCATTTTGTTGGCTTGAAAATATAGAAGTTTGCGTAGCTTAGAGGTATGGAAACCTTATCATAATATAATATTGAGACTATGCTTTTGTGACCCATTTTTATTTACCTTAAAAATAATTTTGTTATAAAACCGCTTTACAATATTTGCTCACGATGGCAATTTTTAGCAGCTGGCTGAAAATGTTGCCAAGTTACGAAAAAAGAAGTACTGGCAACGCCGTCCGCATTCACTGTGAATGTCAACAACACGCTGACGTGAATGGTTTTCAGACGAATTTTATTTTATCAATGAATGTAAAACCAAAATACGTTTTAAGTCATTTATTCACCAATCAATATTCAAGTTATGCCACCTGAAGCGGCTTCGAAATGTAGATGCAACTTTAAACAACTAATTCAATGGCAGCACGCTCAGCTTAGCAAGTTAATGGTGCTCGGCAGCCTCCTTAGCCTTGCTCGCAGCCCATGCCTTCTTGTTCTCGGGCGAGTTGGCTGCACAAAAAATAAACATTAGAACGTATGCAATAAGAAGTAGATCCTTATAATGGATTCTTACCCAATCGGCTGATCTTGTAGAACACAGGCACGCAAGCGACTACGGCAATGAAGTAGTAGCGCCAGATCCATTGATTCTTAATGTAATGCTTGATTGGGAATTGGGCAATTTTAGCCGAGAAAGTGTATGGATATCTCATCGGACGTCCAGCAGGTTTTGGAGCTGCAGCTTTGTCGGACATGGTTGCGATTTGTTTACTGTGCGTTTAAATAATTTTAAAAAGATCAAAAAATTATGTAATTTTCGTTGCGAATGCCGCAGTTACGTACCTGTGCAAAACTCAGAGAATACCACAATATTTCAATGTGGCTCTGCAGCCCTGGTCAACTGTGAAGTTGGTTGCGGCTCTTGGGACTGTCAACTCTGAGTATTTTAAAAATATATACAATACAAAATTTATGAAAAAGAAAGTGCTTGTAGTATGCTTACAATATTGAATGAATGAATATAAAAAGTTCAATTGATTGTGTTTTAATCCTGTTAATCGACCTCGACTACTTGGTTTTTATTTTTTTGTGTTTTAATTATCTTCAGTTTTAAAATGTTCTTCTATGGTCACACTGTTTGTCATTTCCAGTGTCAATAATAACACGCCGGCAGAGAAACGCGGTGGTTTTATTTTAAGTTATTTCTTCTTTTATTTAATGTCTACCGGTAGTAATTTGATTGAAATGCATGTTTGTGGTATTGAAATACCTAACATTATTGCGGTTGCATGCAAAACAGCACGCGGCTAGGCTCGAATCATAAACGTTTACCGCTCGCGGCAAACACGTGAAACTAAATATAATAAAATTACAAGAAAAGAAGGAAAGAAAGAAAAACAGAGCATGTCTGATGATTTTAGTTTAGATGACTTCGGTTTTCTGCTAAGCCCACCAATTGAGCGATCGCCAAATGAAATGGTGTCCACAAACGGGAAGTTGTCTAAAAAGCGCCTGCTAATCGGCGACCTCATTGCCGACAACGATGAGCTAGTGCGCCGTGTGAAGGAACTTGAGGGACAAGAGCAGCAGCTGTGCAGCATAAAGCGTACCGCCAGCGAGGTAACAGAGCTGTATATGCAAGAGAAGCAACAACGCATCGAACTCGAGCGCCGAGCACTTGAAGAAAGCGAGCGTTGCTCTGATCTGGAGAAACAGTTGGACGTACTAAAGCTAGACTGTGAACAGCTGCAGGCGGAAGCGAAGCTTAAGTGTCTGCCAGTTGACGGTAAAGATATGGTCATTCTTTTTATGCAACTAGCGCTGCGCATTCAAGGGGATCCCTGTTCAGGCGGCCTAACGCGGGCCGAGCATAATATGCTGCGCAAGCTAAAAGATTATTGCAAGTCGGCAGATATTTCTGTACCTCTTTCGAAGAGCCCAACGAAGAAACGAGCAAAAAGCATAACTGCAACGAAATCAACTTCGACAGAAACATTTGTCGCACATGCCTCAGCGCCCACCAAGCCTATGATGTGCTCGATTGCCGTACAGAGCGAGAGATTTGTGACCACACGAGATCAGGGCATACAGCATAAGAATACCACAACAACGCGCGGTACGACGACAGCCGCGCTCATCAAAACGCGCACTGTGGGCACCTGTTTTCCACAGCCGGAACCCCCTCTTGATGCTTATCAAATATTGGAGAAGATACTAACGTGGACCATTATGCCGGTGAGCCCTCTCCCTGATGAGCCATTGGTACCCGAAGAGTTGCCACTGATTAATGTGGGCACTAATACGGACATATGCGATGTCCATCGAGAGATTGACTACTTGCCCGTGCTGCCAGCTCAATTGAAACGTTCGGATTCCCGGCCGCCATCACGAACCATGCACGACAGCGTCAAGGATGAGCTGACGACGCCCATCGATGCAGCGACACCAGATAGCTACAGTCACACCATGGCAAAGAAGCTGTTCAACTTTTTGCCGCACAGTCAACGTGTTCTCGACAAGATGCCACCCCAGGACTTCGAGGAGATCTGGCAAGTCGTAGGCCAAATGCTGCTCGTTGCCCTACAAAGTCGGCCTGCGAACTCCATTAGCCAGGCAGATTTTCGCGAATGGTTTTGCTCGCTGTACGAGAGCCACCAGACTCATAACGATGCACCCAGCATCGACATTAGTAATAAGGGTAAGTCAGTAATGCTTCATTGAATTGCATAAGACAAAAACTCAATATTATCCTTGCAGAGCAATATATGGCACCTGTAGATGAAGAAGTGCCACCTGATGATCGCAATCGTTCCATAGAAACACCGCCTCCGGAAATGGGCTTGGAACTAACACCGATACGACTGACTCAATTCAAGGAAATGGAGGAACTTAATACCAAGCCAAAGATTAAAGAACAAAACTCATGCTCACAGGAATATAAGAGGAAGAAGAAGAAGGAAAAGAAGAAGAATAAGAAGAAGGAGCAATCAAGACCCACATCACCCACAGAAACTGCAGTTAATTTCCTAACCAATTTAAGTGATTTCCACAACTCTAACTGTGATAACTTAGACATTCAGCTGAATGCAGAAGAACGCGAATTGATGCAACTGGCGTCTGCAACAGCAAATAATATGCTGCCACCGAACACATCTCCTGTTTTTAAGGACTTTATTCCGATAATGGATGCATCTTTAAATGTGGATAAACCACAGTCAACCAATCCAGAGCCTTTAGACTCACATGCAGCTAATGTCGATGTTATGGCCCTGTTTGGCAGTGATTCGGACTCGACAGATGAAGAAGCGTTTAAAAACAGGAAAGTAGTTGCTAGTGAAGTAAATATCTGCTTAAGCTCCAAGAACTCAAGCAACACGGAAAAGGAGATACCCAATGATTGCGATGTCCGGCATAAAGATACACCGCCGAAGCCCAATTTGGTCATCAATAATGGTGGTCTTGGTGGCGATAAGACTAATCGGTTGCAGCGCAAGCGGAAGCTAAGTTCGCGTAACTCATCTAATTCTCATTCAGGAACTAGTGAAGATGAGAATTCAGTGACCAACGATGGACATACTTATGCGGAGGATGCAAACAACATACGTATACGTGGCTTATCTGAGTCGCTATCTGAAACTAGTGAGGATGAGAATATTGTCACCAGCGACCATTCTCATGAGGACGATACAAACAATTTACGTATAGGTGGCTTATCTGAGTCGCCAACTAAAACTAATGTAAAGACGAATTCAGTCACCAGCGATGATCATCCCCAGGCGGATTATACAAACAATACACGTGGGCGTATCTCATCTGAGTCTCAGTCGGACGCTAGGGAACAGAATGCAGTCACCAGCAATAGACGTAAACGTAGCTCATATAACTCTCTATCTGAATCTACCGAAGACACTTCAGTCACCAGCGATGCGGAGGATACAAAACTTCGTACTACTGAAGCAAAGCAACCTTCACAGGGTGCTGCCACAGTTTCTCCGGTAAAACGCATGCGAAGAGTAAGCAAGCGTATTGCACTCAAGAAAAAGTCGACAATAAATGATAAATCAGTCGATGCCAATCAAAGTGTGGACGATAATTCAGTATTCGATGATACGGACCGTCATGATATGGATGAAAACAAATTGGCTGTGATTATTCCTACTGAGATCACAAAGCAAGACACAAGCACAATCAAATGTGAAAAAATTGATGAATCAGAAGATTACGATACGGACATCGAGGAAAGAAATTTAATTATCAATGAAGATATTCAGACCGATAACGAACCGATTAATGAGATTTTACCATCAGTATTGATTGATAAGCACATGCCCGAAATGTCTGAAGATTCAAGCAAATCCGATGTGCCAGTCATCAATTCCGGTCTTCACAGCGATTCCGATCATGATGAAGACACATGCCCTCAAAATAATGTAGATGGCCCGACTGTGATAAGCAATTCATCCGAATCGAATGCTTCTGATCCACTTGTGGATCTGTACCTAACCCCGGAGTATTCCGATGAGGATAAGCAGCAAAATAGAAAGCGCAAACGCAAGCGAAACGGCAGCATGAATGACTCATTCGAATCACAGTGCACCGCGAAGCGTCTCACGCGCTTGCAAGCCAAGCAGCTTCAGCTGGATGCGGATAATCAAGAGTCGAGCAATGGAACAGCAGTGCAGGAAAGCTGCCTATATGAGAGTTCGCCTATGTCGCCTGCTCCGTCGGATAGCTGTGAAGCGAATGGCAGCGAGCCCATAGAAATTCCACTCCAGTTACCTGGGCGTCAAAATAACCTGGGTGCGCCAAAGGCGCTGCTGTGCTACATGATCAACGCGTACAAGGCTGATATCAAGAAGCACAGGAATCAGAAGCCAAGAAAGAGGCTGGATAAGCTGACTTCTCAAATAATCGAATATCTTAAGCAATCAGATGAGTTGGAACTGACGCCTACTGAATTTATGGGAATAGACGAGCAAAATGTAATCAATGTCTTAATAGCGGCATATGGTGTAGCAACCGAAGCAGGTGCAAACGATATGGTTGTCCTGCAACGTGTGCTGACGCTGGTTAAACAATTCGAGAGCGAGAATAGCTCGTTTATAGGGCATTTCATGAAGGCGTTGGAGCAGCGTTTGTTCAACCCGAAGGATCGACTCTCCGACCCAGTGGCATTCATGTGTGTAAAGCTCTTTTTACAATTGATTGGACTGCAGGCAATGCAAGCCGATCCCGTCGAGATCTATGAGAATCCAGCCCGCCTGTTCCTAGCCAAAATACTCTACCACTACAGCACACAGATGCCGCAATTGGTGTTGGAGGTGCTCACTCATTATCCCACAGTGCTGCCGCATCGCGAGGAGCGATCATATGATCACAGTGATCCATTGATCACGGTCATAAAGCATCTGCTCATGTGCTATCCGTACGATGTCAGCGATCAGCATGGAGCCGAGCGTGCGCTGATCTCCAAGCTGCGGTACGAATATCACTTCCAGCCCTATGAGCCTACGAAGCAGAAGGTGATCGAGAACCTGATGGGGAAAATTAAAGCGGGCCGCACATATCAGCTGAGCTATGCCTTTGCCCTCTTCTGCAGACGAAGCATCCAACTGAACGTGACCAACGTACTATCGCAACAGCTGATCCCGCTGGTCAACAACTACTGTGATTTGTGCGTACAAAATGAGGAGTACGATGCGCGCATGGAAAGCCTGGTGCAGTGCACATCGATGATTATCAAGCAGCTGCGGCTGGCCGGTAATGTGGATCTCACTGGCTACTTAGCGCTCTTCAAACGGATCCTCGTGGCGGTGCCGCGGCCTGGCATCCAGGAGGCAGCCGTCCAGGCCATACTACGCATGCAGAGATTCGGCTACGAATTCGTTGTGGATGCCCTCCAGAGCTACAAGCCCAACTATCCACTGTCACCGATGACACGCGCAATGCTGCGCAGCTTCGTCGAGCGCAGGCAGCAGTACCTGCTAGCAAAAAAGGCATGATTCAACGTAAATAGCTTTGAGTTTCGAGTTGGTAATTTGTATCAATTTTAACTATTTATTTGTATGTATGTATATAGTAAATATATATATATATATGTATTTTTTGAATTAAACTAAATGCCAACTGCAATTGATATTTATACAATTTTTCACTTAGAACTAAAATTAACTTGAATTGGAAAGGAATACACATTAAATGTTGTAAATGATTGCACGTTAAATCAGAGAAGCGTGGAGTGTGTGTGGGTGTGTGCGGGAGTGTTATGTCAATCGAGCAACATAAGGATTAGCATAATTTTAAATTTACAATAGAGTGTTCGTTTCGATCGGAGTTTCGTGACTGTACAACAAGCAGAGGGGGATGATACACACAATACATAGGTAAGTATTAATTATTAACTACGCCGCCTCCAAGTCGAAAAGCCTTTAAGCAGCAGTTAGAGCAACAACTTGTGACTAAGTTGTGGTAAGGTACTTGTGAACTTGGGCTAAACGTTCAGCTTGAGTTTGTAGTCTAAAAGCGTTCCATTGCAAGGCTGCCACCAGTCGCTGCTGCCGTAGGTTGCCAACAACTCTTGCTAGATCAGTTTGTTAAGCTGCGCATAAAATCAATTCATATAATATAATTAATTGATGTTTCTCTAATATAATTAAATTCAGCAAACATACTAATGAGCGGCGCTGATGCTCCTTCTCCAGGGCAACCTGTGCCTGCTGTGGCGAAAATTTCAGCACTGCCGATATGACTTTTACCAGAGTCTCGTTATTCGTATTGCCGGTTAAATACTGCAAATATATATAGAGATAGTTGCATTACAATGTTACATTTGCATATTATACGATTCTTACCTGGAACATGATGTTGCGCAGATACTCGAACTCCGTGTTAGCTGGCACGCTATCGCTGTGCTGCATGGATACCTGTAAGACAACAAAATTCAGATATTTTCGAAAATTTATCCTTAGTTCAATCTATTATTACCAATGTTTCATCCAATTGACGCGACAATTTGGCGTTTTGCAGCTTCAGACGCTCATTGGATTGCTCCAGTATGAGAAAGTTCTCGCACTTTTGTTCGAGGAACAGATTCCGATTGGTCACGTCCTGCACCTCGTTCATGATCTCTTTCAGCTTTGCCTCCAGCTGTGCCTTCTCATCGATGGCAGCCGCCTGCTGCACACTCTTGGGTGCCAGGCTGGCCAGCAACTGCTGGGCCTGAATGCCGGCGCGCAGCTTTTCCAGTTCCATGATGCGTTCAGTCATTTCCTCATTGTTGGCTTGCAGCTCTTCGATTTCCTGCTGGAGATTCGTCTGCTCTCCATTAGTTTTGTGCTTCAGATCCTCCAGCTCGCGCTGCAATTGTTCGTTGAGGCTGCGCAGATTCTCAGAATCATTTGGCAGTGCGGCTGGTGCCTGCTCCTGTTCACTCTTTAACTTGTTCAGTTGCTCTTCGAGACTGAGGCAACGCTCCTGTGCCTTGGCCAGCTCTGTCTGGCGTTCCTGCAGCTGTTGTTGTGCATGCAACAGTTCCTTTTGCACCGTATCGTTCTGCTCGCTTACGAACTTGGCGTGCTCAGTCTGGCGCGTCAGCTCTAGAGTCTGCTCCTCCAGCGACGACTTCAGTTGCACTGCCTCCGCCCTGGCGGCGGCGACCTCTGAGTCCTTCTCGGCCAGCTGTCTGGCATGCTGTTCCACCAGCTCCTGCAGCACGTACAACTCACACTGCAGCGACTTTAGTTTCTCGCCGCTGTCGCCGTGAGAAGCCAGTGCCGTAGCGAGTTCCTTCTCCAGCTGTTTGGTGTGCTTGTTTAGGTATTCGTTCTCAATTTCAAGTTGCTCGAAATCGGATTTCAGAAGTGTCGAGCTCTTCAACGTCTCGATTTCCTTCTGGAGCGTCTCGTTCGCTTCGAGCAAACGATGAACATCCGCATTGGCGGCACTCCAGCGCGCCTCCAACGTTTCCAATTGTGTTGCATGAGCTGCGCTAGTGGCTTGAGCCTTTTCTAGCATCGCCTGCTCTCGCTCCTTGGACGACTCCAGTTGCTCGCGTAAATTGTGAATGGTTTCCTGCAGTGTCACCAGCTGCTCTTTGCTGCCCTCCAGCTCCGAGCAACGATCTGTCTGCTCTTCCAGCTGCTGCTTGAGTTCACGTTGCCGTTCACGCACCTCTGAAAGCTGCTGCTGCGCCTGCTCCAAGTCCAGCTGCAAAGTGCTCCGCTGCGATTCCAGAGCGGACTTTGTCTGTTGCAAGCTGTTGAGCTCATCTTTCGCCAGAAGATTTTCCTTTTCGTACGCATCACATTTGTCCTGCAGCGTGCGGTGATCGTGCTCCATAATCTCCTGGGCATTTTGCAGCTTCGAGTGCTCGTCGAGCACCTGTTGCAGCTTGGTCTGCAGCCTGGTGAGCTCCTCCTGCTGCTTCTGCAAGTGATTGTTCTGCTCCTGCAGCAGACAGTTGTGCTCGGCCAACTTGCTGTTCTCCCGCTCAATCTCCACGAGCCGGGCCGTCGACTGCTCACCCTTGGCATTGTGCTCCAGTTGCTGCTGCTGCAAGTCCTCAATGTGTGCCTCCAGCTGTTGTTTTTCGCTCTGCAGCTGTGTCTGCGCACTTTGCACTTCCTGCAGGTGCGTTTGCATCGTTGTGATCTCCTCGAGTATTACATTGACGCGCTCCTGCAGCTCCTGCTTCTCTCTGCGCAGCTCCTCGACGCCGGCCAACTCTGCCTTGAGCTGCTCCAGGCTGGCTGCCTGCTCGCTGTGCTTTGCCTGCAGCTGCTCGTGTTGTTTTTTCAGCTTGTTCAGTTTGTTGCCGCTCGCCTTGAGCTCTTTGTCTTTGGCCAGAGTGCTGGATTGGGCTTTGCTCAGCTCTTCATTGAGTGCTTCGATCTGCAGCCTCAACGACGCTATCGCCTCCGATTCGCTGTTGCTGCTGCTAGCATATTGTTCGCTCAGCACCTGCAGCTCTCGTTGCAGTTTGCGCGTTTGCTCTTCGGCAGCGGATTTCTCCACACTTAAGGCTGCTACCGTTTCCCGTTCCACTTCGAGACTCTTTTCGGTCTCCAGCGCACGCTGCTCTTGCTCCACCAGCCGCACTCTGGCGTCCTCCAGCTGGCTCTGCACCTCTGTCAACGTTAGTTCGTTTTGCTGGTTGCGCTGCACAATTTCGTTTAGCTGCTTGTTATGCAAACACAAATCTTGCAAACTCTGATCGCTCTCCAGCTTCAGCCTGCGGAGTTCCTCTTCCAGTGCACCCACTTTTTGTGCCTTCTCCGCATTCTCGTTTCTCAGTGCGTTTAGTTGTTCCTCCAGTTCCGACGCCTTGGCATCTGCTTCTTGTTTGGCATTCTGCAGCTGTTCCTTCAGGTCTCCCGCTTCGGTCACATGAGACTTGGACAAGTCCAGTTCACTTTCTAGTTTTTCCAGCTTCTCCTGCAGTTGTCGTAGTTCATTTTGATTGTGCTCCAGTTGAGACTGCAGTTGCTTTTGCTGTTCGGCGCTCTGTTGCTCCTTCTCCGTGTGCTCTACTCTGAGTTTGCTCAACTCTTTCTCCGCTATTAGTAGCTGGGCATCCGCTTCCTGTTTGGCATTTTGCAACTGCATTAATTTCTCTTTCACATCGCCGGCTTGAGTGTTCCGGCTGTTGGCCAGCTCTAGTTCGATTTCCTGCTGTTTAACCTTTTCATTCAGCTGTTGCACTAGGCCTTCCTTTTGCTCTAGCTCAGATTTGGTTTTTTCCAACTGTGCCGCCACTTGTTGATTCGTTTCTGTGAGTTCCGATTTCAGTGAATTCAATTGTTGTTCGGTTGCAGCAAGTTTTGCTTCTGCTTCTTGTTTCGTATTTTGCAGCACCTTCAGTTGCTCCTTTAAGTCATTTGCCTCGATCTTGCCACTATTTGCCTGATCGAGCTCAGCTTGTTGTTGTTTTAGCTTGTCCTGCAGCTGTTGTACCTCCTTCTCCTTGAGCTCCAACTCGGATGCCGTTTTCTTTTGCTGAGCAGCCAACTGTTGCTCCTTTTCCGCGTGTTCGCCTCTTACTGTGCTCAGAACATGCTCCGATGCAATTAGCTTAGCCTCTACTTCCTGTTTTGCGCTTTGTAACTTCTTGAGCTGCTCCTTGATGTCACTCGACTGTGTTTCCCGGCCATTGGCAATTTCCAACTCAGTCTCCAGTTGCTTTACCGTGTCCTGCAGCTGGCGCACCTGGGTTTCCTTATGCTCCAGCTCTGTGTGTATAGCTTGTTTAGTCTGCGCCAGTAGCAGAACATTTTCCTCTTCCTGTTTGCGAAGCGCTGCAATTGTATTGTTGGCCTCCTCATTATTCTTGGTGAGCTGCTTCAACTGTGCCTCATGCTCCGCAAGCAACTTTTGTAGTTTCGCCAGCTCGTCGTTTAATTCCTGCGCGGGCTGACTGCCATTAGAAGTAGGCGCCGTCACTGGCTTTATTATTGGCTCCTCCAGATCGATCAGTTTGTCAGCTGCGTCCGCCTGTCCACGTTCCAGTGCCGCTGTAACATTATCCGGATTCTCGCCTAATAGCTTCAACTTGGTCTGGTAGGCTTGCATCTTGCAGCTCATGTCGTCCATTTCGATGCGCAGCGCCTCCTCCAAATGTGCCTTGGCCTGCTGCTCCAGCGTACATTGTTCACGCAGCTCGTTTATGCGTCGCAGCGCCTTATCCTGCGTCTCTACAAGCACAGCCTGAAAGAGAAATGTAATTAGACTTTACGCCGATTTTCTATGCTCTAAATTCAAATGATTCTCTATCATACCCGCGCCTTGCTGCTGTCCCGCTCCAGTTCCTTGTATTTTTTGGCCAAGTCCGTGTACCGGCAGCGATATTTGTGATAACGATCAAGCGACTTCTTGTATGCATCGTACAGCTGATCCTTGGTGATAACATCCAGACGTGCTGTCGAGGCGGAGTCATCGAACTCGCTGCTAGTCTCATCCAAATCGGACTGCAAGTGGTACGTCTGTTTTTTGAGAGCAACATTAGTTCGAGGTCAAATGAGTCGAGCATGCGACGCCCACGCACTTACCGCTGGCGCATCATATGTAGGCAAACGGAACGACACATCGCTGGCCATGGACGAGTTGGAGAGCTTCCGAGTGCGCGGTATTGCGCCGCTGCCCATGCCATTCAGTGACTGTGTCGATGCACGGCCACCGCGCGGCAGCTTCTGTATGCGATAGGGAGAGTTTTGAGGCGTGTCTATACATTTGACAAAGAGAAACCAATATCTTTATAGAGCTGATAAGAAAATGAATCGTTAACAACTTTACCCTCTTCCGTGATGCTGAAGAAATTCTCATTAGTACCGGTATCGGTATTCTCTGAGCTTGGTGTTGTTGTGCTGGACGATGAGCTCACGGCGGCCTACAATAAAGCAAACCGATAAAATTCCCTTGCATGTGTGTGTGTGTGTCATGCGGCGTGATTGTGTTGTGTATGGGTGTGTGCTAGGGGGGTTGGGTGTGCACCCAGCTGCCAGTTTCATTCAAATGGGTCAAATTAAATAGAACTATCCAATTGCATTGACTGTTTTGGACGCATCACCTCCCCATTAGGACAAACACACACACACTAGTTAACACACACACACACAAACAGTTTGTTTGTGTGCGTATGTTTTCATTAATTTGCATTTTTTTTCTATCTTGCCTGGGCTGCATTTGCAAATTGTTGGAATTTGGACGGCGACGCTTTCACCTCCTCGATCAGTTTATTTTTCAGATTAGCAAACATTGTGTGGCACCTGCTGCACTTGTTCTTTACTGCGTTGACTACTTAATTTAGGCACAATTGAATTTATATAAAAAAACATCTAATATAAATAAATACGTGTCTGCAGTTCTCGCTCCAATTGCCACTCTGTTATAGCTAGCGCGATGTGGCAACACTCGTACTAGTGTGACCATATATCAGATACTGCTACATTTGGTATTTTGTTGGCACAATTTAGTCTGCTTGAAAATAACGGCTGTAATGAGCGCAAAAACACGAGAGAAAATTTGAATTTAGTGTTTTAGCTGATTTTAATTGCGAATTTAAACAGTAAATATACAAACTCACCTTTTCATTTAGGCCATGCACGAAAAATATTAAGCTGTGTTTACTATTTACTAAGGTGCATATAAAATATTCTAGCATCTTCTAAGACAGGAGGCAGAAAATTTGAATTGTGAATGTTCAGTAAAACACAAAACGATCAGAATTCTGTCAGATACCCAACATAGTCATAAATGTATACATCCAAGCATACGCATAGATATCATACAGCATACACAATAGTTGTTTTGAAAAGAAACATTTTTCGACTTAAGCAGTACACATTTATACATAGATTTCTATAAAACATTATTTCCTGCCGGTACTAAATTGTATGTTGCATATGTCGAAAATGTTAGTCAATAGTTTTGTATTTACGCGCGCATTCAGTGAGTTCAGCGCAACGGCTTTGTTTATGATCATTAGCTGTATGGGCGGTGCTACGAACGACCAGGATAGCGCCGGATCTTTAATCTCCAGCATCATCTACGGACTGGCCACTGTTGTGGTAATGCATATCTTTGGATTTATATCGGGCGCGCATGCCAATCCGTGCGTGACAATTGCTTGCTGTCTACTCGGCCACATCGGGTCCAGCATGATGTTCACCTACATTTTCTGCCAGTTGGCCGGCGCAGCTTTTGGATACTTTCTGCTGTTGCAAATGCTATCGCAAGGTTTGACGATTGGCGTTTGTATTGTTGAGCCACTGGATAGTCTGTCCAATGTACAAATCGTAGCCATTGAGACCTTCCTAACGTCGGTGCTGATACTCGCCTGGAGCGCACTGTGGGATGTACGTAGCGGACGCTTTCTCGACTCGGTCACCCTACGTATGGGCTGCCTGGTTACCCTATGCAATTTGGCAGGCGTAAGTCTCTTTCGACTTTTCGCTCTCATCTCTGTTCTCATAATGTATTAATTTGTAGGGCAAGCTCACTGGTGCCTCTATGAATCCAGCCAAAGCGCTCATTCCACAACTTTTCAACGGAGATCCGGAGAGTATATTGCTCCAGCTGGGCGGACAAATGTTAGCTGCCTTCGTTGTGCCTCAAATTTGGCATTATGCCTACACACCATGCTATCGACCCCTACTCATTGAAAATGCCGAGATAAGGAATAGGTATCTCCAACCATAAGCTTTTTTTTTTTTTTTGATACTTGACCAAATAAATACATATGTATATTAAATATGTATGTGCACATCTTTAAATAATTGTACTCAATGATCCATGGCCATGGCATGTGGCGTATGAGTGCAGCTTTAATGCCTACGAATGTCTAAGATAAATTTAAAATGTGAGATAAATTTAAATTTCTTTAATTGCGCTTATCTACGTAGCTATCACATTTGCTAATACAACTAATTTAAAATAATTTATTGCCTAACGGCACAGAAGCCATTGTAACATGCTGGCGACAAGATAAGATTCGATAAAAAGTATATGGGGCTCTCATCTGAAATAGCAGCAGAGTTTCTGCTTCTTCGTCTCTAAAGGAAAATACGTATCTACATACATATGTATATAAATATATGTCTATATATTTAAAGGGGGGGTTAAATATTTCTGAGTCGAGCACTCCCGTGGTTGTTTCTCTTCTTATAATCTAAAAAAAATGGCACTTACCAAAAGGAAAATCAGAACATTGATGAATTTGAACTCTTTCGGGCTTTACTAATATATATTTGTAATGTAAACTGCATAGAATATACACATTTTTCTTTACGTCTCTTACTCACTAGATTGACGCTAAGCTATGTGGTACATGCTCATCCTTAACTTAATTTTAGTTACTTTGATTTCGAATTATAGCTAAACGTCTGTCGGATACATCTATGTAAATATATAAGCCCAGTGGATTATTGGGATATATGCACAGATCAAGACTAACTACGGCTGCGAAATGTTCACTTTGCTTGGTCTTTCTGGCGTATTTCTAAAGCCGTACTTGTAGGCTAATGAAGTGATTAGCGATGCTACCAAGGGGGCGACCCAGTATATCCAATGATGTTCCCAGGAATTGTTCCACACAGCTGGTGCAAGCGAACGGGCCGGATTCATGCTGGCGCCAGTGTACTGTGCCTGTAGACCCACAATCAAATCAATTATACAATCATAATGTGGAGGCGTGGCATTATATACGTACCCCAGCGATGGCTATGCAGCCCACTGTGAGGCCAAAGCGAATCGGTATGGAATCCTTTTGCTCCGCATTGCGTTGATCCCAAATACCGCAGCACACACAGATCAGAACAGCCGTGATGAGGAACTCAATGAGGAAGCCCTGCCAATAGGGCAAGTTGCTGACCACGAAGGTCACACAGGCACCCCTGGGGGTCATCTCGTTGGTCAGCATATTTTTGGGCAGCGATGCAATCAGCAGGCCGTAGCCAATAAGGCCTCCAAGTATCTGGGCCACAACATAGTAAATGGCCATGAACCACGTTATCTGCTCGTACACCAGGCTGGCCAGCGTCACGGCGGGATTGATATGGGCGCCCGACACACAGCCGAAGCACTGGATGGCGATGAGCACGGCGAGACCAAACGCGAATGAGGCCTGGAACGCGGAATTACTGATCGACGGTGAATGTGTGCAGCCCAAGCAGCCGACGTAAACCAGGATGGCTGTGCCGAACAACTCTCCAAAGAATTTCGCAACATTTTGGAGCACCTCATTCCTGCAAGAGATAGATGGATCGAATAGAGATCTGGATTAGGACCTGGACTTTAACAACCAGCAAATTGCAGCAGATAGGCGCCCCTGAGTGCACTTGCCTCGTCTTCACACTTTGCTCGACCATTCTGCCAGCTACGTTGTTTAGCAAATATCAATCGCAACGTTTTAGCCCCACGCAGTTCAACGCGCAACTGAAGACAGCGAATCTGACTCGGAGACTGCACCGTCGCGTCGGTGGTCGATTGTCGTCGTTGGTCGTTGGTTGTCGGTGGTTGTCGTTGCCCGATTAACGCTGCTAGTCGACCTATTGACAGGTACCCGCTACCCCCCACAGCCACATTCCAACAATAGGCATTAATCTTCAACAAGGGCCATTATCAATTATCGAATTATCAATTGCTAAACCCAATTATCAGCTAACTCTACATATATATACTTATATATGTTCTTAATTCTTAATATTACTATGCCACTAAAATTTTTGATAACCATCTTTAAAGCTGTTGGAAAGCACTTCAGAAAACCAATTGGTTTTATTTGCTATTCCGTTCAGTGATATGCATTTATGCCCAATAACATTCCTGATTAGCAAATCCGTTTGGAATATGTGATTAAGCATAGCTGCACAGTTGCTACGACTACTATATACCCTAACTATGTGTGGTATATCATAGCTCTAATAGATAGTTATCATAACTGATGATATACCCGAACCAATCGTAAGATTGGTTCTTCTATGTTTCTTCTTCTTGTGGAGTTGTACTTCTAACATAAGGATATCACTTGTTTGATCATGTCAATGTTTGTCTACTAGTTCTTTATGTGGAATATAATTTTATAGTTAAGCTTAACTTAATCGACTATCCCAACCTTAAGTTGACTTAAGTTTATATAAAAGTTCGGCTTCTGTCCATTTCATTGTTAAACTTAACTCGAGTGGAGAGTTGGCACGACTAGCATATACCCTAACCAATAGTCAGTATATCACTCTGCTTCGATCTGTTCTACATAAAAACTTAATTACACGTTTTATTTGCCGGTTTTCCTTAGAGATCGTACCAAGAATTTTATATAGGCTTATCTTTTAAATTATTGTTATTTTGTTTGCCAAATTTATAGGTGCTCAGCGTGCACAGTTCAATCATGTTTCAAATGAGTGTTTCATGCCCCTGGTATAAAAAGTTTTATGTCATTTTTAGGGACGGAAAAGTGATATCAATCAAAAGTGATATTGACACAATCTATCTCTCAACATGACGTACGACAGAGGGCAGAAGAAACAGAACCAAAAAAAGAAGGAATAGAACAATAATATGAACCTGAATCATTCTCACCTTGGGATTAACTTCATACTATTCTGTCGCTTTCGTCGTCCACTTTGAGTTACTCCCACTGAATACTGTAACTTACTTGTATACCCTTACTTTTAGTTTTGTAAAGACGAGCCAAAAAAAAACAAAAGGCTAAATAAAATATAAATAAAAACAATTTCTGAATACCTATACACAATTTATCTGAATGACTGACAACTTTTTCTACAGCTGAAATCCCTTTTCTGATGTCCAGTCATGTGGCGTTTGTTGCCAACAAGTTGGCTGGGTTTTTTTTTTCCCGAGCGTTATCAAATAAATAAAAATATGATAATTATAATACTAACAATAAAAAATCATATTGATCTATCTTCAAGCATGTCGAACAGTTTAAAGTAGTAGATTAACTACTTTTCCACTCTGTCCCCGATAGACCTTGGCGTCTCGGCAAGCCAGACAACTCTAATGTGCTGATCTCAATGACACAAATGAATATGTCTGTATATGTACACACATATACATATCTGATAGCTTTCCTGACGTCGAGCTATCTTATCGATTGTCGGTCTATTGAGACACTTTCTTTAATACAAGACTTTAATTAGTGTCAGATTTTTAACAATATTTTTTTATAGCACTCTTTTTATTGTCGCTACAATAGTTTCGCTTCTCAGGCTGATAAACATATCGCACGCGTTTTTTCTATGATATGGAATCGGAAGAGAAATAAATTAAAGTCGCAGACTTTGTTAGTTTTAGTTAATTAATGTGATTATATTAAACTTAAACTTCACTTAAAGCTAATATAGCTCAAACACATCCGCTAAACCTTATCAATGAAGTTGATTTGGGCATTTGAGGTGCGCAGCTCGAGCACCTCCTCGCTGCGGCCCTTGAATGCCAATCGATAGATGATCGAGGTGATTGCGGCGCCAACCAGCGGACCCACCCAGTAGATCCAGTGGTTCTGCCAGGAATTGTTCCACACCGCCGGGCCCAGCGAGCGGGTCGGATTCATGCTGGAGCCAGTGAACAGGCCCTGTGGGAATCGAAATTGAAGTTGTACGAATTACGAATACGCTCTCATTTTACTCATACCGCCGCCAAGTTGAGGCACGAAACTGTCAGGCCGAAACGAATGGGCACCGAATCCTTCAGCTTGGCATTGCGCGGATCCCACACCGAGCAGGCGACCATGGTCAGGAAGCAGGTGATCAACAGCTCAATGAAGACGCCCTGCAGCACTGAAATGTCCTTGCTCAGAACTGTGACACAAACGCCCGCCGGCTCGTCCACGCCCACAATGGCGTTCAGGGGCAGCACAGCCTTCAGCAGGCCGTAGCCAATCAAGCCGCCTGCCACCTGGGCCACCAGGTACGCTATGGCCATGTACCAGTTGATGACGCCGTAGATCAGGGCCGCCAGCGTGATGGCCGGATTGAGATGGGCGCCCGAAATGGAGCCGAAGCTCTGTATGGCAATCAGAATGGCCAACCCGAAGTTCAGGCTCAGCTCGAAGTGTGAGTTGAGAAACAGGGGCGTGGTCACACAGCCCATGCAGGCAACGAATATGAACGTGGCCGTGCCCACCAGCTCGCCAAAGAAGGCGGCCACTCGCGCCCGATTCTCGGCGCGCAGCTTGAGGTAGCGCCATCGCGCCCTGGAGCTGGTGGTGGAACCGTTAATGGTTAACCTCTGCTGCGACATGCTAGTCAAATACAACTGAGCCAACTGTCTGCGCCCGTGGGCCTAGTTAGCCTAGTGTTGGCTTCGAGCAGCGCAAGGTTTCGACTTTAAATTGGACCCTAATCAATCAATATGAATTATAAAACCTTAATGCTAATTATTATGAGAATTTTGTATATATATTTTTTTATTTTTTGCTTAGATATGGGACTTCTTACTATTTGCTATTGTCATCGTCTAGTCAAACCCCATTCTCAAATTAATAGATAATTTATCATGTTTCGAGCTCTGAGAATTCCTTACCCACATTGCCACCCGGCGTGCCACTTAATGCCCAATCCTATCACCCCGAGATCTATGAATGTGGCGCCTCAACTTGGCCAATACGCGCAGTTATCGCAAAGAACATTTGACTCATGATTGCCAAAACATCCAGTGCTGGCCTACTTTTAGGCGTTCACAGTTCAAGTGGGCGCTATATAAATGTAATAACTAAGTAAGATTAGACAGGATCCTCGCAGTCATAAATAAATCGTAATACTGTTGAGTGAGAATTAAGAATAGATAAGTATTGATATATGGTATACAAGCTGACATAATGATGTATAAACCGACATATATGTAGGTTGTATATAGTCTTAGCTACAACAAATGATCTGAATAAACAATATGAAAATCAATAAATAATACAAATTTAGGATATACTATTTTTATATTAATTTAAAAATAAATACATTTTCTTTACATTTATTTATTTATTTAAATAAGTAAAATAAAACAATTGACTGTCAACTGAAATTTCAATATGTGTAAATATTTTTGTATTTATAGTATGTATTATATTATTCATTTATTGATTTTCACACTCATCCCATCTGAAGAAACCCAACTTGCTCATGATAGAAAAATTTTCTTTATTAATCGATGATTTCTATTAGAGTACAACAATTGCATTAGCATAGAAGTCGTCGATAACGATCTTAGCTTAAAACTAATTAGATTTTCTTTAAGTGTGTATGTGTGTGTGTGTATGCCCTGTACAGCGGGGCAATTTTGGCACAGTGTTATACAATTGTCTATGAGAGCTGAACGTCCTCCAGTTGGCGCAGTTTCTCGTCGGAGATGACCTGGGCCTCCACAACCTCTCGCCGGAAGACGGTCTTGTAGGCGACGGCAGTGATGGCAGCACTGCTCAGCGGTGCCAGCCAGTAGATCCAGTGCTTGAGGAAGTTGCCGTTCCAGAGCGCCGGCGCGAAAGATCTGGCTGGGTTCATGCTGGCGCCAGTGAAGGGTCCCTGCAAGCAAAACTCAGGAATATTAACAACGAATTTCCTCTCTCAGATTTGGTCGACATCAACTTACCGCGGCACAGGCCAAACAGGCAATGGCCAGGCCAAAGCGAATGGCCACCGAATCGTGGTGCTTGGCATTGCGAGGATCCCAGACGCCGCAGCAGACAATAACTAGAATGCCGGTGACAACGAACTCAATGCCGAAGGCCTGCAGATTGTTGACCTCGGAGTGGGGCAGGGTCACGCACAGGCCGTTGGGCACATCCAGCGTGGATGGGGGCAGCAAGGCCATCAGCAGGCCGTAGCCAATGAAGCCGCCCAGCATCTGGCCGACAAAGTAGACGAAGGCCATAGGCAGCGAGACCAGCTCATAGACGTAGGCCGCCACCGTGACTGCGGGATTCAGATGGGCGCCCGACACACAGCCAAAGCATTGGATGGCAATGAGCACAGCGAAGCCGAAGTTCAGAATGATCTGCAAATGATTGTTGGGAAAGAGATCTGTTTTCACGCAGCCCATGCAGCCGAGGAACACCAGAATGGCTGTGCCCATCAGCTCGGCCAGGAAGCAGCTGATTTTATCCAAAGTCGATGCCTTCATTTTGAATACCTTCAAACAACTGAAATGCGAAACGTTTACCATTTAATTAGCCAACTCGACGAGTTTATTTATTATTTCAGTTTTTTTTTTGCCGATTTGTAATCGAACTGCCATTAGCAGGCAAACAGTCGACGGCGCCTACACAAAATCAAATCAACTTCATCAATCATGCTCGAGCATTAGCCGCAGGCCATCCATGCCTAAGCCTTTCAATTAAATTTGATCTTATGCACACTCACAAACACACACACACACATGCACTACTGTATTTCTGCCTCTATTATAGAATGAAAGCTTTGCTTATATGTTGCTTTTGCTGTTTGGGCTGCTGCAATTGATTTTTATGTTGCCTAGACGCAATTTTCGATGTTACTGATGCGAATTTGCTTGTTGCAGCATTGATTTTTCCAACTATTCTCTGAAAGGCCAGCTGGCCTAAACATATGTCTGCCAGTTGAACTACTCAGCTGCCATATGGCTAAACATGCTCATAGATTAATGCCCTATGACTAGTGGAGAGACTGGCAAATGTTGTAGGGCATATAGAAAGTCTAGAAAACTGATAAAGTGAAACTAGAGTCTTATAGCTGTTATGCTATCTAAGCAAGCGTTAAGCTAGTTAGAGCTCTAGGCTTTGATATTATCTTAGTTTTGGCTAGAGGAATTGCTATATAATTTGAAAAAAAAAAAAAAAATACTGTTGAAGCCAGATATTATAACTAGTTAGTTATTTAATATCAATTTTTGTATTTATTTTTATTTTTTATTTTTTATTATTATTTTTTTAAATTTTTATTTAGATTTAAAACTTGTAATTCCAGCCTTTAAAATTGTTCACGTAAACAATATCTTTGTTATAAGAAAAACTTTGCTCGCACATTTGTTTTTTTGGGTCACACATAATTTGTCGAATATTCGTTTTTTTCTCTTTCAAAAATTCTATATTTAAATATATATATAAATATTAATTATAAATATTATAAATATTTTTATTGAAAAACTTTTGTATGCTATACCAAAGTAAAAACTTTAGATATACTATTGGAAATAGAAAATAGAAATAGTAAAATAATATAAGCATGTCTTACAGCTACTAAAAATATTTAAGCAAAATTTTTGGAAATTTTAATAGCTGTTTACAAGCATAAAAATAGCTGTAAAGCTGAATTCTAGCAGTTATTTCGTATTTAATAACCTTTTTAAGATATTTTCATAAAAAAAAATTTTCATAAAAAATAAACATAAATAAAAATTCTCAGCACTCTACATTTGGCTTGCATTAAGCTGGCAAAATAAAATAATTTAATGGCTCATTTAAATTATAAATAATTTTTTATAGAGCCGTATTTTTTCTGGAATCCAATGCTTTTTTAAACAAATATTGTTTTCTATTTATTTTATGCACAATATTTTTCTCATTTTGTTCATTTGAAGGTCAAATTGGGTGCCAAAGTTTGCGTAATTTGTTTTTTTTTTTTTAAATATAGAGAAGAAAGCACAGTCTATACAATTTTTTTTATAACCAACAAGTTTTTTATGTAAGTTTATTTTTGATATTTACCGATTCAAGCACTCGCGACTCATGCTAACGGTATTTGTGTATATATAGAATATATATGTTTGCGAATGTATTTTCTGAGTTACAAACTCGATCGAGCAGCTCCACTGTCAATGTCAGTCTGAGCGTTGGAGTGTCACTGGCAAATATTTATATATGTATATATCCATAGTGCGCCAACTTATATATCTTCTGCGTAAATCAAACGCCACCCATTTTTAGCTGCGAGAGACCCTAGGAGAGGCAAATTAGCAAATAGCAAATCCTCCACAAGCAGCGAACGATGCTCGATGCTCGCTTCTCGCTTCTCGATGCTGAGCAACAAGACACGAGCCGAGTCGCGTCTCCAGATATCGTCAGGCAGAGATATCGCACTCTCTGCACGTTTTACAAGCGCACATGCTCAGCGCTCTCCACTTATTACGAGAGCTATATTTAAAAATAAAAATAAAGGCAATATAAGTAAATAGTGTCTGCTCTTATCAGGCAGCGTCCATATTCACTTATTTGCTCCAACAGCTCCTCCGACTATATGAATGGGCTTGAATTATCAGCAATAGGTGAACAGCAATATATTTACAGTATTTACTTTTGTGACGTTTACTGCAATTCGCACTTTAAAAGGTTTACTTATCAGCAAGAATAAGGAGCAAAGCTTTAATGGGGAGTGGCCTGACTGGGAGATGCCCTGGGCGAACCTTATTAGATGCAAGTTTGTACTAGATGCAGATTGATATGTACTGTAATAATATGAATATAATGGCTATATATATGTACATATGTAGGTATATATAGATCAGGTCATCCTTATATATCCTTATATATCTTTTGCTAATGGCATAAATGGTAGTAGATATGTAAAGGTTATTCGATATCTCTTTCATTACTCGAATATTAATTTGATTACGAATAGAAATAATAGAAAAGGCAAAAACAAAAATTGAACATATCGTAGTAGATAGTGTAGAGTGGGCAAAACTGGAAAGGCAAACTTCAGTGCTCTAGTTCTTAAAGGTTTCAAGATTAAGCCTAAGATTGATTCGCAGACAAATAGAAAGTTCGAGAATTCCATATCGATTCGTTTGTTGCTCCTAATCAAGAATGTTTATATATACATACATCAAGAATATATTTACACTTTAAAAAATACGTTTACTCTCTTTATCAATAATCAATGGGCGACATCAATCAGTGCAGCGCCTATCAGCGTATCGGGCGCTGTCAACTGACGCAATTGCAGCAGCAACAGTAGAAGCAGCGGCAGCAGCAATATCAAGTGGCAAATTGCAAATTGCGTGCCACGCAATGTGTGTAAATAAATCAGTGCAGCAATTCACATCTGATTCTGTGGCACTCGTCTATCAAAGCCGAGCACGCAATGCCCCGTTAAATGTCTCAATCGTCATTGCACTTCAATTGAGCAAATGAAAAGTAACCCCAACCACATGCTCTGAATGAACACTGAGCTGATATGCAATCTGAAATATATATGTTCACATATATAACATTTGTATATATATGTATATAATATATAATGGTTTTTCGCTCGGCATGTGGCTAAATATAAAATGTTTTTATTGTTTATTTCACTTTTTGCAATTTTTTTATATTTTTTTTTATTCGACAATCTGAACACGATAACCTTTCTGATCTTAATCCCGTTCTCATAAAAACAAATGTATTAAGTGCTTGCGCTCGACAACCTATTCGTAATCGCCGAGGTATAATACCAATGGGAAATGTTTGTCTGTCGAGGGTATTTCGAGTTGATTGTGAAACATATACTGCATACGAGGAAATGTTTTTAATCCTATATTAAATATGTATAGGAATATATTCCTATATTAAATATGTATATTCTCTGATACAAATACAGAGTAACTGGTAAATAAAGCTATCTTCTGTTTACTTTTTACAGGGCATCTTGAATTTTT